TTCATGTGCTCGGTGAGGTGATGCTTCATCTTGAACTTCTTGGCGCAGACGGGGCAGTGGAAGGGCCGCAGGTCCAGGTGCATGTTAATGTGGCGGTCCCTCATGCTCTTGTGGGTGAACGTCTTACCGCAGTGACACATGAACACTTTCCCTGAACCCCCAGAGCCGCCGCCACTGCTGCCGCCTCCGATTCCTCCGCTCTCTGTGCCATCCACCCCCAAACCACCCTGCACCGACAGGTGGACCGCACCGTGCTCCATACTGGGACCTTTGAAGGACGACCCTCCGATCATACCGCCTGCCATCCCCAGAGGCGGCGCGCTAGCATCCAGCGGGAGTCCGGAGGCCTGGCTGTACAGCAGGATCTGGTTTCCCTGCATGTCCAGTGGGAAGAGCTGAGCCCGGGCTGAGGCTGCAGACTGAACCTGACCCAGCAGCGCCGAAACCGCCCGGTTAGCGTTCTGGTTCTGACCTGCAGCGCTGTCGTGAAGATGTTGCGCTAAAGTTTGGTCCATGAGACTTCCTTCAAACTTGAGGTAGTCCTCTGAAGACTGGCAGTAGTCGACCTACACACAGGGAAACATATTAGAGGTTAAGATTATATAAAAATATCTGTCAATCAAGTTTATTTGTAGAGCAGATGCACAAATCAAGAAAGTTTTCTGTTAAAAATTATGTTTTTTACACATTCTGGTTGCTGTAACTTATTTCAACTAAAGATAGAAATTCTTTGTGTGGCGTTTTAGCGCCCTCTACTGGTCATATGCAAAACCACCACAGCACCAGCTTACAACAGGTCTGCGTCATTATTTCTACAAAGCAAACCGCCCCTCAGCTACTGTCAGGATAATTAAAGCTGTAATCTGATTACACTACAGTTCCAGCTCACCTGTGACTCCATATCGTTCTCCGCTCTGCCCCCGAGCTCGCCTGAAAGGCTCCTGACGTTTGAGATGTTGAAGTTGCTCCTTTCCCGCTCTCGTGCCAGCTCCATCTCCCTCTCATCCTCGTCCTCCTCGTCTTCTCCTCCTTCCTCCCCGGAGACCACGATCAGGTCGTCGTCCTCTGTCCGTTCGGTTTTCACCACCACCCACTGCTTGCGAGGCATGATGCTGGGCTGGCTGTAGGTGGGACGCTTCTGCAGCGGCAACGCAGAGTCCTCTCCGTCCTTTTATTGAGATATTTCACATTATGTACAGAAAACGCAGGATACAAACAAACAAAACTGTAAACACTAACTCGATTATTAAAGTTCAACTTTTCTTTCAAAATAAAAGCTCTTCGTACAAATTAAAGGTCGACTATCTTCAGGTTGCTCAGACCTCACCTGATAGGATGAAACCCCAAAGCTGTCGCTGACCCCGACCTCCTGCTCTGACACTGAGCTCATCTTCTTCCTCCTCCCGCTGCCTCCTCCTCCTGTGCTTCCTCGTTTCCTTTGATGGTACAGCACCTCCTCCTCTTCCTCCTCAGCTTCCTCTTCCTCCTCAGCTTCCTCTTCCTCCTCAATAAGGAAGGCTTCTTCGCCTCCTGATGGAGTGCAGTAGCTGGGGGTGTTGTTAGCCCCGCCTCCATCCCCAGAAGCTCCCGTTGCAGCCGCGCCACCTCCCCCAAAGCTGCTCCCATCCCTTGGGCTGAAGTAGTTGGTGCTGCTGGGTGATTGGCTCTCGCTCACCGACGGGCGGCTGGGAGGCTGGGAGGCTCGCGGGGGCTCGTTAGACTCCCCAACCTGGACTTGACCAACACTTCCAGCACCAGCAGCTCCATTACCACCACCTGCTCCACCGTCACCATTGCTGCTGCTACAGCCAGAGTTGGCTGATCCTCCAGCTCCACTTATTCCATCCTGCACAGCACCGCCTCCACCTCCGCCGCTCCCTCCTGCCGCCGCGGCTCGGCCCTCCTTCAGTAGCTCCGTGCATTTGTCCACAATGTGCCACATCTGCAGGACGCTGCCCACTGTGAGGTAGTTGACGATGTCATCACGCAGCATCCGGAGCTGACCCGTGTAGGCGCAGCTCAGCACGCTCTCAAACGCCAGCGGGTCCATCACTGCCGGGATGGAGACCGTGGACATGTTCTTCAGTAGTACCTGGAGGCAGATGGAGATCAAAACATCACATAATTAAGCTTTTTTATTTTGTAACGATCCCTCCTGCCTCCTCCTCCTCTCCCTCATCACACTCCAACATCACCCACATGGTCAGAGTCCAGCTCCAAGTTATTTTCTGGTGTACACAGACAGTCAATCTGTCTGCCAGCCCCTCAGACAGGTAACAGGGGTCTGATGAAACCTCCCACCAGTTTCACTAAGCAGATATTTGGCAGATGACTGAGGCTCTCTCGAAAACCAATAATTACAGCATAAAAAAAGCACAAGTAAAGTGTTTGTGTGAGGCTGCTGTCACACAGTAGGTCTTTATTATCTTCTAACTCTGAGCTCCCGTATAATTAACCTGCGTGACTGTTCACATCTATTCTGTCTCGCCTCGTTTATTCTGTTTGTCTGAGGTAGAAATAAGAAGCGGCAGATGGCTTCAAACCCAGATTCACATTTTATGTCTCCAGCGTGTCAAAGACACAGATCTTGTGTTAGCAGAGAAAACTGGGAGAAAATGCAAACAAGCTGCTGATTACACAACCGTGTGAGACCAACTAATCCTGTCACCTGTCTGTCTTTCTATAGGCAATCTAATGTTCTAAAGTTTTGCTCAGGCACAAACTGCGACAGCTATTCTTGTCTGGCGCTAATAAAGATCCAAGGCTGAGTGAGAGTCGGTGTGTTCATCCACCTGGTCGTGGAAGTAAGGCGAGGACGCAGCCAGGACGCAGCGGTGGGCCTTGAACACTTGTCCCTGGACATGGATGGAGAGGTCGCAGAGGCTGCCGTCCTCTCTCTGCCGGTTCAGGCTGTCCAGCACCGAGGTCTGAGCGCCGGGGAAGCAAACCTGAACCACTGAGCCGCTGCCGCTGCTGCTTCCCACCTCCATGGGCACAGACTGCATCTGTGAGGAAGAAAAACCTTCATGACTCCCACAGCCGGAGGTTAAACTCTGACTTTAGATTCATGGCAGTCCTTCCTGGTTTGTTCCTGCTGACTGGCAGGTTGTGCTGACGAGGCTGAGGCTTTAAATCTGAGGCTTTAAATTACACGAACAGTGAATCTATTCAAGTATGGAGGAAGCTCTTTGAATGGGTCACATGACTGCACCTCTCAGGTAATTAGGTGTCAAATAAAATATCATGTTAAGAAAAACGGCTGTTTTATTTATAAAAACAACCATGACTGCAGTTTGCAGTTTATTGGGTTGTTGGAACTAGAGCGGGACAACAGCCCTGCAACAAATCCCCACCTCGCTCACGGCAGAGGGTTCAGATCTTTCTATAAAACGTTCGCAGCTGTGCTGAAACAATCAACAGTTGTTTTCCATATAAACAAATCTTTTTTTTAAATTTAGTTTCTTTCATTTTAATAAATATATAAAGAGAAGAGATTGAAACTTCAAATAATTACAAAAAAATTACAGAAAAGCTGAAAATCCTCAGAGTGGAAACTTAATTTTAGCTGTGTCTTTAAAATTACACAAAATTAATGATTAAATAATCGTTACTGCTGTCATTTCTGTCAATCAACTAATCAATTGCCAAATCTCTGATTAAATTGATGATAATTTTAGAGGTGAAGGGCTTTAAACTCAACTATGCTGGATTTCAAACAAAGTGCATCACAGAGGAATGTGACTGTAGGCAATATAAATGTAAACTTGAAGATATTGATCAGTAATTAAGGTAAACTAAGTAACATGTGATAAAATGAGCATCTGTAACCTTTATAAAAGTTTTGGTAAACATATTTTTGGAAAATTCAAGGAATGACTGCAGACTCACTGATGGTGCTTATACAGCTCAGAGTAACGCTGGTGCAGTCTTACATCATCACCTACACCTGTCGGTCTTTTCTGATGTAATGATATGCAGGCAGGTTATTTAAATAATAACTATAAATTTAACAGCGACACACTTTCTTTGAACATCAGAAGTAATATTTTCCTTTAATCTGACCTTTTCATTCCAAAATTAATTACATTTAAATACATTAAATGAAAAAATATAATGTTACCTGAAAACTCATAGCTATATGTTTCAGTTAAAATGGTTTAAGTTTATATATATAATCATGTTGAACTCATTGACGATGACAGAGACAGAGAAACTGACTTCATTAGAGATGTTAATGCTCAGAAAGGATTTGAATTTTACCTCAGAAACACTGGAAATCTGTCCAGTCATTAGGGGAGCAGATAGCCTCAGTTAGAGGACAGTGACAGCCTGATTTTATCCGCCTGTCTGTGAGCCTGAAATCACTGACAGGCTGCACATCACACACAAACTAAACTTTATTAATCCCAAAAGTTACAGCAGCCAAAAACCATCAACACAACCTCTGACAGAAGAGCTGCAACCAGAACAGCTCAGTAACATAAACACGATTGAAACCAAAAAAATTAAAATTAAAATCAAAAATCAGTTAAAATCAAAAAGTGAAATAAAAATAAATACTAGAGTTCAATAACAAACCTAAACGCCCAATTATATTCAGCTGCTCAGTTTATGCTGCACATCAAATATTTACTGTAGTTATGACAGCTGACATCATCGGTGTCCGTCTGAACTTCACATTAAACTCGAGCAGCACATCTGTGCAGAGCCTCCTTCATTAAACTCATTAATTAATCATCAGAAACCCGCACAGTCCACGCCGGACGTAACCGGCAGACTTTATGGGGAGAAAAAAAAAAGAAAAAAAATCAACAGCTGGACTGCACACTTTAACTTTACCGCTACAAAAGCGAAGCTGCTGGTTGGAAATGCAGCTGTGCTCGTGGTGCAGATGTTTTTTCCCCGGTGGCGGTGTTCTCCGTTCAGACAGACAAACGGCGGCATCTGGAAAACCGTCAGAGCTCCGGACTCCAATCACAGCCGCACAGATGTGACGTTAGCCTGCTAGCTAGCCCAGTCGGGCCGCCGCCGACGTTAAACTCACCGTTTTCAGTTGACACCTGAGCCCGTTACAGTCCGGCCTCTGACCGAGCGGAGGGCGGCGGGTCCTGCCGGTTCATCCAGGCCCTGAAGTTTGGGGAGCATTTTTGAGAAAAAGCTCCTCGCAGCTGATCTCCGCAGCAGCAGACAGCCACACGTCGCCTTTAAGAGCGACCCAGACAGACGAGCCAGACTTTGGCCGACACAAAATAAACTAAAAAAAAAAAAAA